GCGTCCTTGCACTTCTCGGTTGGGGACGGGACCGCCGGTTTCTCAGCTGAGAGGCTTCGAGTAGCAGGGAGATGGGTGAAGTCTTGTTTTTGCACCTGTCCAATAAGCAGCGCTAGTTTAAGATCAAATACTTTGATGTGGGAATACATGTCAGATTAGTTTTCCCTTGCCTTGGAGCTGCAAGTTGAGGCCGTTTAAAATTTCTGACACATCTGTTAATAAAGGCGAGGTCCCATTTCCATTCTGTGTCGATCAGCTCTGGGACAGTTTTTCCCTTTGTCAGGAGAAAGGCATTGATTTCGGGTAGCAGGTCGTAAAAACGCTTCAAAACTCTGCCCCGGCTTAACCAGCGGACTTCAGTGTGGTAAAGCACGTCTCCGTGGGCTGATTCTAGCTCGGAGAGAAAGGCTTGGAACTGCCTGTGTTTAAGTCCGTTTGCTCTGATGAAGTTTATGCAGGACACAACCACCTTCATGACAGATTCCCACCTCAGAACTTTGCAGCTTGACGCTGGCTCGGTCACGATCAAAGTCACGTCAGAATATACCATTGTGTGAGGAGGTGAAGATGAGCCACTATTAACTATAAATAGCTCATAACTATGGTCAATTTTAATTAGAATGCCAACCTTTAAGTACGGATATGTTATGATGATATGATAGGAAAATGCAACTTAATAAAAATTGGTTGATGTTTAGAGGGATTGTCTGGGATCGTTAAGTGGGCCACTCCAATTGCTTTGGCAGGCCGGATGTGGCCCGCGGGCCGTAGTTTGGGGACCCCTGCTTTAAAACAACACGGCTGATACAAAGCACTTTACAAAACTTCAGAATTATATGATATAGACTGTAATAAATTTTGACCCCAGTTAAGTAAAGTAGTAGTAGTAAGTAGTAGTAATGTAACACAACATTAGCCAAAAGACTTGATAATTAGAACACAATTTTCAAAACCATAGATTAACTTCTCTTTGGTAATGTTATACTGTAAGTGAGTGAATGAGTGAGTGAGTGTTTTTGACTGACACGTAATTTAATACTACACATCATAAGCTTTCTTTAAAGGCCCTGTGTTTCATGTGTTACTAGCTAACAACACAAGTCAAAGTTGAGATAATTTTGGTGATTTCTGTATTTTTGTTTTTCTCAGTGGTCTTCTCTCTGGTTTTTGCCCTAACATTCACTCTGATTGTTGCCCATTCAGTTTATGAATATTTTCAATGTTATCGATAAAAAACATTTTCGTGTCGTTTTCAGAGGCTTTAGGTATGAGTTGTTCTCCAACGAGCAACATATTAAGCCGATACACTTGGTATTATTTTGAATTATTTTTTCATATCCACATACCCTATGTAATGTGGGATTGTTCTTTCTACAACCAGCATCTTACTAATATCATAATTATGTTAATTCTCCTCAGAACATTGCAATGAAATTTCTTACCGTTCTCAGAGTGAGTCTCTTACAGAAAGTAGGTGTTATTTATACTAGTAGCGCTGACTTAAGTATGTCCTCAGAGAAACTATAGTAATGGAAACTGTATATACTGTATGTATATAAGGCATATTTTACCTGACTGCACACTGCTCATCAGCTTGAGCTTGAGCTGCTTGAGCGTGCTGGTTAAAAATCAGTGCTCCAAGCTGTATGAGTTTGCTTTGAATTTCACTTTTGTGAGATGATTAAAGCTAAACTGACAGTAATGTTTAAGGTGGCGTGGACGCTCTTGAAGGACACAGCTGCATTAATGTGTATTTCTCTCTCTGCAGAACGCTGGGGTGCTATTCAAGATCAGAGTGGTGGGAGGATCGGCAGCCTACAGCTACCTGTCCCCACAGGATAGCAGGCCACTCTACCACCCTGCAGTTGATAGGTAGGACACACATACATACACACACGCACAAACACACAAAGGAAAACAACATACTGTGCTGTTCTATACAACTGCACAGACACACACATACTTAGCCATCATGCAAATTACTGTACATTCTTTCTTCGAGTCGTCAGTAATGCATTTATGACAGTGTAGATCCACAGTCAGTCCACTCATACATGCATAATAGCATTCACATCCAATAATACGGACACATATACATAATGAAACACGGATATGTACACGTTGCACCATGACCTTGATGTTGGAATGATAAAAAAGCATCTACAGCAGTGCTTGCAATGGCCATGCCACATCGATGACAGGCTGACAGTGAAAGCACAGTCACAAGTCACAGCGACATCCAAACAAATAAATATATAAGCCAATTAAAGCCGATATTGAAATGATTATATCAAGTCATATTCATTACCATGGCGGACAGGTTTTCTAGTGCGTTAGACAAAAAGCTACAATTCCTTTTCGAAGCCAGTGGACCTTAAGGGGATTACAGACAACTGAGTAAAATGATATCAGTTTGAGGGTGTGAAGATAAGGCCTTTATTTCCTGTGTGATAAAGAGCATCAAGGTGTCACTGTACAGCTGAGGAGCTTAGTATGAATCTCTGTTGTTCTACCGTGCAGTGAAGGTCAGGCCTTCCACAAAGGAGCAAGAAAATGAGATTGTCATCCAGGTTAGACTGGGTGTTCAATATGAGCGTGTGTGTGTGTCTGTCTGTCTGCATCTGCTGCAGTGCATTACTTATATCACATTCAAAATGTGATATGCTAGATGTGATTTTGCTCACTTTACACAAAATACCTGCAGACAGCATCGAATTCAAGATGTATTGAACAAATAAAAATGTGTCTGGTGAGCATTTCTATGCTTTAACCTATCTTCTTTATGTATTTAATGGTTATTTGTATGGGGAAAGGTAGGCATAACATGCCACTTACCACATTTGTCATGCTTGTCCATAGATGGGATTTCGAAATACACAAAAGTCAACAAGGATTTAGATGCAAAACAGCACAGGGCACAAACAATGATACAATGAAATTACCACAAAACTCAGTGACAAGCACCAGATTATTCTTTCTGTCCAAATGACGAAAGTGAAAAATTTACAAAAGGGCACCTTACAGTTCCCCATATAGACATAGCTACACCAAGTTAGAGGGGCGGTGGTGAGATCTAATGTCTCATTTTCCCATTTTCAACGTTAGTACACACACTTCAGTATTTCCATTAAATGACTCGCTGTAAACTTGTCAGCTTAACATGTGTGAAGATTCATTCATTCATTAGCCATACTGCGGGATAGTAATATCTCACTGATTTTTTTGAATTACATTTTTTCAATAACATATTGCAGACTCATTGCTCCCTGCCAGCTGTACTGTACAATTTTTGTTCGTAATAATTACTGTTTGTCTGCATGCTGTTGTTACGATGTCTGGAGTGTGCCACTTGAATTATTGTAGACCTTTAAAGTGTTTAATTGACCAGCTGTTATGTGTCGGCAGAAGTCTGGCCAATCAAAGCTCCTTCTGCTGTTCTGTGTGTTGGATTTTAATTTCTTAGGTGGTACACCACTTACACAGAGAGTCTTTCAGTTAAATTTATCAAATGGGACTGTTAAAGCAGGAAAAATTAATTGTGAGATTGAGTATGGTAGGCAGGCATATTTCTAAATGAAATAAAAAGAAAAAATACAATGAATTTTGGTTGTATGATTCATTGTTTAAAGACAATTTATTCTGAATTGATCTTTTTTTTTCTTTAAAATGCATAGTTAAATGACATTTTATTTTCACTTCCAAAACTGCTTTTTTAAATTTATCAATGTATGCACTGATGTAGATTATAAAAAAGAAAGATCCACTTGTCACAGAGCAAATACACACATGCATTCACAATACGACACACACACACAAACACACACACACACACACACACACACACACACACACACAATCTTAATTTTTTAGATTCACAATGCAAAGTAGCCTCATGCCCCTGAATCCTTCGGCAAACAATGTGTTGTCTAAAATGAATGAATTGGTTTTGTTGGACAGATCAGTGGATATATGTGACAGGGAAGGTTTCTCATTCATCCTGAGGCAATTATTATTGCTGCACTCTTGTAAAGTGGGCAGAGAGAGAAGGAGAGAGAAGAAGAGTCTCTCAATAACACTGCTTTCCGAAACGCCAATCACAGTAAAACTAGTTATAACACACTGTAAGGAAAACTATTTTAAACACAGGAAAGAAGAAACTAAAAACCAAAGTAGATTACAATGTCATCTGTTCTTAAACAAAGATTATGAATCTCTTAACTGTCAGAGATAGAAAGCAGAGGCAGATCCTGACCAAGCACAGACTCAGCGACCACAAACTGGCAATTGAACAAAAAAATCATGCCAACTGAAAGAAACCATATGGCCACTGTTTGACAGGTGAGGTTGACTTCATCCTAAAATGTAAATCATTCATCATGAAATAAGGAACATTTACTTTAACCAGTTTACTTCAGTAATTCCAAACTTCAATGAACAAAATGACATCTCAAAATCAAAAATAATCTGACACAACCTGAGGGACAGTGAATGAAACAAGACGCGTGCGCACACACACACACACACACACACACACAAATAATATACTTTAAAGTGTCTGTTCCTTTTCATAATCAGTGAGGATGTTGCCATACTGAGGCCTTTAACCTCCCTGAATTGTTTATATGTTATGTAAGCCTGACATCTAGTGTTAAGGCGCGGTACATACACGTTCATGCGTTTAAACATGTTCACAGAGAACAATAAAGAGACAGCAACATAGGTGACACTACTCATAGTGAGAATCACTTAGTATTCACCCATGCAAGAAGCCTCTAGGCTGTCTCCATCCAGACTACTGATGCTTTGAAAAATCAAAGGGAACTGAAGTTCGACACGACTCCAAAACATCTACCACTGCTGATCCGTCATGTTCCCGGAACAAAAGAAATAACTTCTACTCTTAGCATTCAGTGATTGTTAAATCCACCTTAGCCATCTGTCAGTGCTGTCTGGCTGTTGAATACTGATGCAAGTTTATCTTTCCTCCTGAGATCAAAGCAGTGAAGGTAACGTCTGCAATACAAACATGACACCACAGTGTGACTCAACATCAACCATTTGCATATTAATACATGCAGTGTTTTACCTGTGCCCGATCACACTGTGTAATCCTGCTGTTGCCAGTGTGTGTGTGTCTGTGTTTACCAGCATGAAAAAAAAAAAATCAAAAAGCACAAAGAAAACATTCAAAGACAGCGTCAGGTTCAATGTCACCAAATTTGTTGCATTACAGCGTGACAGATTTCAGCCTCCCTTGGTTTTTTCGGTTTCAGGTTTTTGTAGATGGGTAATATTTTCTGCTACAGCTGGATAAACTAAGATCATAATATGTGTGTGTAGAATCTTACTGCTTTTCTCTTGCTGTATTGCAGAGCACTGAAGTTCTGTGGTCCTGGGGGACCTCCCCATGTAAAGCTCGTCATCGAGTGGGAGCACAAGACTAAAGAATGGTAAGCACTGTGCACAAACCATTTTTCCTCCTAGAGGAGTACACACACTGTATGTAAACAAGCATTTAGGCAGAACACACACATAGCTTATCCACTGCTGTGGAGTATCACTTATCACTCTTTGCTCAACAATGAACAATGAACACTGTGTGTTTGTGTGTCTGCGTCTTACAGTCTGTTTGGCAGCATCCAAGAGGAGGTGGTGAAGGATGCGGAGAGTGTGAGGAACCAGCAGCAGCAACATCTGCAGCAGCATAGCTGTACCTTGGACGAGTGCTTCCAGCTGTACACCAAAGAAGAACAGGTGAGACTGAAGGCAGCACATCTGTCAAATAAAGAACAGAAGTCTTTATTCTCACTTGGCAAATCCAACCACCTATGTATCTTGGAGTCTTTTTCTATCCACAATACACTTTACTCAGTTATCCTCATGTTTCCATTGTTAAAAGTACTGCGGCTTGAGTGAACCAAACTGCCGTCAGTGCAACAGTGCAGCTGTAAATAAATGGCGTACTTTTTGTAAAGGGAAAAGAGTTTTACACAACTAACTTTTAAAGCCCGTGATATCTCCTGCAAATGTGAAAAAACAGTCTCTAAATCTCCAGAGGAAGCTGCATGAAGTCTGATAAAATTGCCTCAAGTCATGTAACTTGAGTCAGTCAGTTGGGTCAGCAGATGTTTGAAAATGAAAAAAAATGTTGCGGTGTGGAGATAGAAAAAAGGGGGCGCTTACATCTGTGGCACGGTCCTCATCTCTGCTAGAGGCTAAGGGCTCAAGGCTACATTAGCCACGACTAGCATAACACAGCCAAATCTCCAACTGAACTGTCAGCAGTTGAGATGCATTATGAATAATGCAGGTGCCAGGTTTTGACAAGAAGAATGTGCAGAATAAAAAAAGAAGATCTCTCTTATTCTCGAGTCCAACAGCTTCATAGGAGTGCAACGCTAAATCAGTTGGGGCTCGCCCTGTCTGTAAATACCACTTTGTACCTCAAGAAGCAATGGTGAGTCACTGTAGCCCTTACTCCAATATGACAGTATGAGGGGGTAGTAGCTGCGAGTAGGCTGTCAACCTGTGTTGCAGCCATCTTCTCTCCATGACATTCCTCCACTCTTTCCTCAAGCTCAGCGATTGACGTTGCTGCTCTAGCTGTTCTCCCTCTCCCTCGCTTTCCTCGACCTCTCGTGGCTCGTCCTCTACTCCTGCCACCACTACAGCTTCCTGACTGGGAAGATTGGGTGTGAAATCATCGTCAATCATCGTCAACAATAACTGAAGAAAACAACCTACCAGTTACATAATCAGACTGCAAGGTCGAACTGTGTGGAAAATATTATTTCCTAATTCGTGCAGGTTTGGCAACATGTCAGCAACCCAATGCACCTGAGAAAAATGGTTTCAGACTGAACCCCACTCTGTGTCTCATGACGTCCATCCTCCAGAAGGTTATTTAGACGTTTGAATATATATTTCTGCATCATATTACATCATTAGTTGCATATAACATAATTATTTAACACATATTGAGAAGGTGTCTATTATTTGAGATTTAGATTGGTTTCTTGTCTCAGCAGTAGCATCCTTGTTCCAATTTTTCTCAGACAGCCCATGGCAGTGAGACCTTCTACACCTGCAGTGGCTCTCTGTACAACTCCCTTTCTATTTTTATAAAACTAATCATCAAAGAAGCTGAGTGAAGACTTAATTTTATACTTCCTTTGTGTCACCCAGCTCCGTTGTCCAAGAATGTGCAATCTTGTGGACACAGTCCTCACCTCTTTTATAGAAGATTAAAAAAAAAACTGTTCATCAAGGGCAAAAAGTGTCAGCCTTAACAATCTCTAATTCATTGTCTCATTTTGGCTTTCCCGCCTTATCCCAATATCCCAATTAAGATGACTTTTCTGAATATTAGATGTCTTTCAAATAAAACTTAAATGATTTTGTCTCCACTCTTTTTACACTCCTCCTAACTGAAACTTTCCCATAACAGATGCCTCTTTTAGCTCTCTCATGACTAGAGGCCAAAATTTAATTTTTTATTTATTTATTTATTTATTATCTGTCTGACGAATTGTAATTCTCCCAATCATTATTCAAGCATAGTTTCTCAAATATGAAAACATTTTCATTTTTAAATGCTAGTGATTCATTAAATTGCGTTAAATCACTTCAGCGCTTTTCTACAGTATTTGACACGTAATGCCATTGCTACAGTTAAACGCAGTAATAGACCTCCACTTAATGTGCATTATGGTTGAATGACCTAATAGAGGATGGAGAAACGCTAAACTCCTGGTCTGCCCATTACAGATGAAAGACCTTTTCATATCTTATTGTCAGGTAAAAATACCATGGCTCTCTGTATGCCTCTTAACCTTCACTGTAGAGCTGTGCCCTTCTGGAAAAGAGCATTTGTGTTCACAGAATCTTCTCTGGTTAGAACTAGCCCTTCTGTCAGCTCCAACCACTCTGACCATTCTCCTCTGATCTTTCTCATCAACAAGGAGTTTCTATCCGAGATGGAATGAAGATCAGCAATTTAAGGAATACTCAAACTAGCCCATCAGCCCGTCACTGAGATCGCGTTTTTTCCCCATTCTGATGTTTGATCTGAACATTAACTGGAGCTCCTGTACCTGCATAATTTTATGCATTGCACTGTTGGTACATAATTAGCTGATTGGATAATTGCATGAATAAGCAGGTGTACAATTGTTCCCAATAAAGATCTCAGTGAGTTTTTGTTTTTTTCTCCTGCACTAATTAGGCTTTGTTAAATGACGCACCAATATATGAGACAACGCTATTTAATTTCCTTATCTTATTTTGTAAAACAGAATCTAATCATCTTATACTACACTTCTAGGACAGAAAGTCCCTGCTTGTAACGATAGAAATAATACATCGATCAGTCACAACATTAAACCAAACCGGTAACTGGTTTAAATGTTGTGGATGATTGGTGTGTAGATGCTGATTGGTTAAACCAGTTCCCAGTTGGGTCAAATGTTCAGTGGGTTTTGGGAGTGTTACTTTTAAAATGTATTTCACTACAGATAACAGAATACATGCCCTTAAATGTAATTTATGTATTGACAGCCTGTGTAGTCTCATTTAGCCAGTTGTTAGCAACCAGCTTTTTTAAGAGACGTTAAAGCTTAAAGAAATCATGAATGGGGTATTTACTGACGTATTTTATGTCATGTGAAACTGTCTTGAGCTTGTGTTGACCACAGACTTTATTTCAGCCATCTAACCAAATACCTGTTCAAAAAACCCATGGACTTAGGCAACATTATGATGTCACAGTGAAGTTGACCTTTGACCATTTAGCTATAAAATGTCATCACTTTTCATTTTATTCTTATAGACATTGGAGTTAAATTGTGTCATAATTAGTGTGTGAATTTGTTATTTACCTTATCTGTTTTCTCACAGCATCAAATGGGTGAAAAAGATGGTGACAATAACTTAAATCTACAATGCTGCACAGAGTAAGGAAGCTAGCTCGCATGGTAGTTCTCAACAAGTTGTTTACAAATTCGCAAACATTTAACGAGGTATATACATTATTTGACAGACATGGCAAAAATATACAACACATCATGAATATTCTAAATGTAACGTTTGTTAGCTAGACATACTTAGCAAGCTAGCCTCTATGCCCACTGGTGACTGCTAACAGGCAGTCAACATTGGGCTAGCATTTCAGCGAACGTTAGCGGCAGTCTTGGCTCCCATACAGTCTCAATGAAACACTGACTTTTAACATATAGGAAAACAAAACTGCTTTATTCAGTGTTTATACTAGTTATAGTCACTCGGTATGTTTGTTTTGGAGAGGAGGAGGCCTCTGTAGATAATTCTAGCCAGACAAATAGATGAGGTTAACCATCAATTCACTGTAGGCAGGATTTTGCTATAATCATAACTTTAGTCATAACTGGGATTTTTTCATTTTGAGAGAATCATATTTTTGAATCCACCTATTGTCTGTCTGAGCAGTGTGAAGAGCAAACAATGGGCTAAAGGCATTTATCTTGTAGATTCCCCAGTTTGAAGTATTGAGCCTCTAACAAATCAAACAAGCAGAAAATGAGGTAAACACATTCTCGGACGTCTGCTTTTAAAACTAACTTTCCATGAGCCTTAAGTTTGTTTTTGTTTTTATTTTGGGTTAATGAAAAACAGATTAATACACACCTGTTCATCTAAAGTAAACATGTCATACTATCACCAATATGAACACTTTTGTTTGATTTGTATAAACATTTAATTGATTAATTCACTGACTGATTCCAGCTCGCCCCAGATGATGCCTGGAAGTGTCCCCACTGTAAACAGCTTCAGCAGGGCATGGTGAAGATGAGCCTGTGGACTCTGCCTGACATACTGATCCTCCATCTCAAGCGCTTCCGACAGGTAGGCAAACTATAAAAGAGCTTCTTGTGAGGTCAGATACATAGTATTAGTATTATTATTACAAAGTATAGCAGCTTAAGAGCCAGATGTTGCCTTCAGGAGCTGGAGACCACAACAGGAGAGTGAATATTGGACTTAGATTAATTATGTTGACAAAATAATAAATAAATAAATAACTCAGAATGAATGCTGATGTTACTCCTTGTCTGCTGGGTATGCTTAAAAAGGCAATTGTTTGCTAATGCATTTGCCATAACAACTTCACAAAGTAATAGAGTCATTATTGGATTTTCTACTGCCCCTGAATGGGGAAAAAACACAATTAATGAAAGTTTAAGAATCATGAACTTTAAAACTTTTAAAATTCTACCCATTCTCTCTGTGTAATTGTGTTTTTGTGGTGCTCCTAAATTTTGTGGGAACAAAATGATCAACATCTAAATCAATTTAATAACTTGCCAAATTGAAGAAAATGCTCTCATATTAATTGCTACATCTAATATGTTGTGGAAAATAAAATTCAGGCTATTCGAGGAATGTAAAGGAGGGGGGAAATAATTGCTGACAAAGAATACACATAAAGGAAATATGAATATTGCAGGGCAGGGTCTTGCCCAGTTAGATGGAAATTTCCATTGTAAAATAAAATCATAAGAACTGCTCCTTGTGTATCTGAGTTTTGACAATCAGCCAACAGTCATCTTTCCAGCACCTTTTTTTTAATTTTGTGATGCATAGAAGTGTGATTCCCCAAACAGGGAAACATACAATCAATACCTCCATCTACAACAGGTATTGTCCCTGACCTGTATGCATTAAGCATTGAGGATGTGTGTAAGTTAGAACAGCCTGTCAACATCCAGCAGTACCGCGTGAATCTCATCCATCCTCTGCATCTTGCCCCCACGATGCTCCTCAGTGACCTCGGCTCAGGAAAGTAGAAAGGAGTCAGTCCCATGTGTCCTCCCTCTACATTGGTAACAAGTTGGTCTCTGTCTAGAGCTGTGGGAGCGCACACCGCAGTTTCCCTCCTCTGACCAATGTACTTTTTTCAGCCTATTCATTAGAATTCAGTCACTGTCAGAATCTGTGCCAATGACCAGTTTTGTGTAGGAGACTTAACCAGAAGCCCATGATCTGGTCATGTGGGGTATCCAGGCCCTTCCATCATGATAACGTACCCATCCCAGGAGGAGCCCTTCAGTAGCTAAGAATGATATGGACAGACTTGGCTTCGAACTATCTCACACGTCTGATCACTTCTAACCACGCCTAGGAGTGCAACGGAAAGCAAAGATCCTGCTGTGACATTACTGATTGGGTAGTGGTCAAAAGTCAATTTCAACCCAAAGAAACCTGTGCAGCTAGTTTTCTTCCCCATGTGATTAGTCTGTGATATGATAGTGTTTAAAAATTATATTATTTTTATTAGCATTTTTATGATGCAGTTTATGGTGTTTTAATTTTAATTGCAGCAAAATGACATTGGATACCTGTTTAATCAAGTCAGTGTCAATCCTTTTCTGCAAGATCCACTCCTCATCGAGATCCACAGTTGACTTATGCTTGCTACCTGCACATGTATGTACTGTATACATATATTAATAAAAAAATGTTGAAACAGGTAGGCGAGCGGAGGAATAAGCTGTCAACCTTGGTGCGTTTCCCCCTGACTGGATTGGACATGGCCCCCCACATGGTGAAGAGGAGTCAGAGTATGAGGAACCTGAACCTGGGAGCCTGGACACCTTCCTGGAAGCAGCCCTCAGGACAACACAACCCACCTGCCGACATGACCCTCCCAATCGACTATCAGTACGACCTCTACGCTGTGTGTAACCATCACGGAGGAATGCATGGAGGACATTATACTGGTATGGAACTGCGTGGTATAATAGTAGTAGTTAGTAGTAGTAGTATAATAGATTTTCTATATTTTGACCATTTGTTTACTCTTCTTTATTTCATAAGTCGATTATTTTTGAGTTGTTGAAACAAGCAGTTTTTAGACAATTTGAGTTGCTATAGATAATTTCAGTTCCAGTTTATAATTAGTTTTTGTTGCTGAGGCCATTAAAGATGTACACCACAATAGGGTACCTACTGTCATTATCATATTTGATCAGAGCTTTTCTAGCAGCAGTATGTTTTTCTCACAGCTGGACTCCAGTTCTTTTACACTTAATTATGAGTTTTTCTAAATAGCCCAACACACTTAGTCATTTTTGAAAGGAGAGATGGGAGCGTGGAGTGATGGGATTATGTTGTGATCAGGCCATTCTCGTAGATTTGAGAATAATAGCAGCATCTTAACATAGAGCATACAATACCCTCAGATTTATCCTGCACCTTTTCAGAAAAGCACTTACCACCCACCTTCAGTTGATGTAGTTACTTCATCCAGTCATTATGCAGAACCTCACTGGTATTTTCAGTGAGTGTGGAAACTTAATGATGTGTTGAAAAACTTAGATGAGATGTATTGAAACTGCTGTTGATGAACAGTACCACAGGTTTTTTTGTGTTTTTTTGTTTTTTTTTGCTTACTGCCTACCTTCAAACCCAGTATGGGTCCTGCAGGAGTGGAAACAAAAAACCTGTCATGGACACAGTCTTCATTATCCATGTGTGATTACTGAAACACCCGCCCGACATACTCCCAGGAGTAAACTGCTTGGTAAATAAATAGTATTTTAAGCTTGAAAAAAAGGAAACGTTTAATAGTGACCTGTTTGACTACAATTTGGGTCTCCTATAGAGACCCCCATAATGACGTCTAAGCATCGTCTTAATAAACTCTGGTCCACCTCAAAACCCACAATGGCAGTAATTGCAAGTAGTCAAGTAAGTCCCTGCCTGTGCAGTGTATTTGAAGTAACTGCCAACAGTGTCCAAACAGCCATTACGACTGCCAGTGTACGGAGGATTTTCAGACCACACAGGGACACACTCAGTTAATGAGGTGAGTCATTCTTTCCCCTAATAGGTGGCTCCAAGTTACTAGAACTTCACTTTTTATATTATTTTATTTTCACATAAAGTTCAAGCAATATCTATACAGAATTAGAATTATTATTATTATCAGCCAACAAAAAAATTAGAAACAGAAAACTCACATTCAGGGGGGAAGAGAAAAAACACACTAAATACACAAAACATGTCCAAGCTGAAACTTTGAATGAACTAAAATGAGATGATGTTTCTATGTGAGAAGGGTCTTTCTCATAATAGTCGATAAATGAAGGGTTATGTATAATGTTTTAAAAACTGTCTGTGTATAGTAAAGACCACCCCCAGAGGTCCTACCAAAATTGTTTTTACAGTGGCTTCAGGAAATATTCAGACCCCTCCAGTTTTTGCACACTTTATTGTCTTGTAGATCTAACTTTAAATGGGTAAAATTGCCATTTTGCCCATAATAGAAAAGTTTTTTAAAAATCAAAAACTGAAATCTCACATTTACAAAAGCACTCAGACCTTTGAAAGAGCAGTCTTTGACTGTCCTTGAGTTGCTCAGTGAAAGCCCAGAATTAAACCTCACTGAACATCTGTGGAGAGACCTGAAGATGGTAGTTCACAGACACTTCCCATCCAATCTGACAGAGCTTGAGAGGATTTGCCAGGAAGAATGGGATAAACTGCTCAAATCCAGGTGTGCAAAGCTTGTAGAGATTTAGCCACAAGGCCTTGAATCTGTAATTGCCTCCAAAGGGGCTTCTCCAAAGTACTGGATTAAAGGAGCTATTTGTAAGTCTTCCTATTGCTACATACCCAGTATTAGCAGTAACAGCTGTTTACTTACTAGTCTAGAAGAAACATGCTGTCTCCAGCAGTGGAAAGCAAGCCTCTTGTTTTGCTTCTATTCTTACAACTTATTTTGTTAGACTAAAGTTAGCATGCTAACCGGCTAGCTCTGGCCCGATCGGACTGTCTTGTCACTTTCCAATACAGAGTAACTGTTGTGTCACTCTGCCCTCAAGAAGTAGTGCTGCTCAGAGGACGTATTATAACCTCTAACCTTGTAAACACAATGACAGCTGAAGCTCTTAGCAAGATTGGCAGGTCAAACAGCAACTTAAAAATAACTCTTTTAAGGGTCTGAATACTTGTGTCAATGAGAGATTTCAGTTTTTGATTTGCAATAAGCTTGCAAAAAAATTCAAAAAACATTTTTTTCACTCTTGTCATTATGGGCTATTGAGTGTACATTGATGTTAATTTATATCACTTTTGTCGATTTTATCAATTTACAATTATACATCTGTAACAAGTAAAAAAACAAGCAAGAAGTGAAGACAATGGATGAACTTCATTCATCAGAGTCATTTCCGTTTTTTAAGTCTACTGTATAGCTGATGAGATCGGTCGAAAAGCAGGATGGGAAGGTGAGACAAAACTGATTGTGTAATTGCAGGGGATGATTCGTGAAAAAAGCACAACTCTGAGGATAATACGCAGGAGATATGGAGACAGTGCAAGATGAGGAGGATGGATCAGTCATCACCAAGGCAACTTGCTTGCACACTGTCACTATGTCTTTTATGGCATGGAAATGTAACTGGGAGCCTTGTGCGCTATAACATGGGCACAGCAGGGTGATGCATCATTTACCTAAAGTTAAAAATAAAAATAAATAAATAATAAAATAATAAAAAATAGAAATTGTGATTTGTCCTTCTGATGTTACCAGAGAGATGGACAAATTAGCAAACAGGAATACTCCACACTGAAACCCCACCTGGGAGTTATGTGAACGGTTTGTGGAGGGTTCTCTTTATGTTATATGCAGGTACGCACACTGTATTGTATTGTATCTAAACCTCTTTGTGACTAGTTACGGCCACTTCCTGCTAACTGCTTTTTTTATGTGAAGAAAATTGAGTTCACTAATTGTTAAGGTATAAGACCAGCACTGAGTATAAATTACTATTACGAATTTCCTGTAAATGCCTGATGACACTTATTACCTCGAGCCAAAAGAACGCTACTGCTGCAGTGGCATTATTGATCCCTGGAGAGCAGCTGTGTGTCAGACAGTGGTTCTCAACCCAACTACAAAGATATAGCTCTTCTATGTGTTCAGTAGTTATTACACAGCTACACTGGCAAGACGTGGTAGTAGAATAAATGAATTGTTGGTTTTGGCCTCTTCATGGTATTTTCTGATATCATGGTAATAACAATAATTATTATTATGACAGCCTTACTCTTCAGTTTTTTATTTTCTTCATTGTCATTATGTTGCTGTGTCCCTTGTTTATGCTTGATGTCATTTTTTTTAACGCAGCTTACTGTAGGAACTCAGTGGACGGCCAGTGGTATAGTTACGATGACAGCAGCGTCGACCTGGTGCCAGACGAGGAAGTTTGTACCAGAGGAGCTTACATCCTTTTCTACCAGAGACGCAACACTATTCCTCCATGGTCGGCCAGTAGCTCCATCAGAGGTATGCTATGCTAATGAGTAGCCAACAGGAAAACATAAATAATTTCATGAATAAAAGGGCATATGATTTTAAGGAAATGCCTGTTTGTAGGACAAGAATGTTTAAATTAATATATGGTCTTTCAACGCAAACACTAAGGAGTAATGTAGGCAACAATGGGAGCGTCGTGCAGTGGTTGGCGTCATTGGCTGCACTTTCCTCTCTCAACACAGTTCTGATATGTTCTCAGCGATCTGAGAGTTACAGTTGAAAAATTCGTCTGACACAGATTCTTTTAAACATCCATCATCTTTGTTTTAAAACCCACCAGTCATGTGAGCCACAGTGTGGACGCTGGTCCTGCTCTTCAATCAAATATACATTTGTAATTTGAAAATATTGTATCAGTGCAAAGTATGTGCACAGTAAAATGCATGTACTCATAAGAGTAAGAATGCTTTTGTTCAGTAGAGCTTATCTGTGAATAATAGGACAACATAAAGTCATTTAGTCATTTAGAATAATTTGGACATAAAGAAATTAGTATCTGCTACATAAATGCTAATTTTCAACACTTTACCTTTTCTTGAATTCCTGTAGTAATGATTTTCCTCCTTTGTGAGTTGCGATTATACTTTACCTGATTCAGAGTCGCAAAACAAGAATACAGCTGCTGGATCACTGTGTCTCAGATCTTTAGATGTACTTCTCCAAAGTAAAACTTTCTATTAGTACTTAAAAGGTGCCTACTCCATAGCCCAGATGGATTGTCTTTTTGCACCCACACATTTTTCTCATGGCAACAAAGATTCTTGGGTTCAATAAAGCAATATCCTCTTCCAGAAATAATTTAACAGAGGCACTTAAACAGCTGCATACAATAAACCAATGAGATGCCCACAGGATACATCAATGGGTACCCAGCAAAGTCAAATAAGTGCTTTAAGGCACAGTGGGGAGAGCAGAGTGTGATTGTCTGACTGTAGGGAAACTATAGGTGGTTATTAAATTCTGGTATGCATCTGCTGAAGTCAAACTCAGGAGCCTCATTATAATATAGTTCCATTGAGAAACGCACATAGAGTCTGTATAATGTGAAACACAGCTCCACACACAGCGCTGAATGTGAAACAAACGAACAAATCTGTCTGTGCAAATAAGAAACAAGGTGTACAATTTAAAGCAGAGAGTTCTTGTTCATATGCCGTGCTTCGATACCCAGATGTGATTAAGCATTCAGGCTACACTGAAGAAGCCTGGTCTTAGCTAGCTCAGAGACAAACTTGGAACAAATTTTGAAGAAAATGTTTTCTTTTTCTTAAAAAAAAAAAAAAAAAGAAAAAAAAACCATCCTTGCACACATCTGGGATGAAGCCTTAATCCTCCAGTCTGTTAACTGTATACTGAGCACTTAGCATAGACATCAGAAAAACAAATGCTTTCAGAAATGACCCCACCATCTGATGTAAAGGCAGACAGAGAGCAGAGCAGTGAAAGGTTAGTGAGGATAGAGTAGCGTGGAGATTATGGAATGTTGTGGCTCAGTAGTGACTGAATACATGATGGTAAAGGTCAGCAAACATGTTACATTATTAACTTTTTAAAGGTCTTGAACTATACAAGCCTTAAGGCTGCTCATTCTGCAACAATAAAACCATCCTTTGCTTCTTTATGGACCATTGACGTGACTGTTGATTCTGAATCACGGGTCAGTTTTGCTCTCCAGGTCATTTCCCATGGTGAACTCAAATCTAAATGTTTGGTTTCACACAGTTTTGTATAATAATGTCGGTATCTTTTACTGGGATTAGAATTTTAAATTAAGAGGAGTGAATACCGTGCCAACTGCCAACGGCAAGGCTATGTACAGAAGGAAAAAGTCAGATATATAATAGCAGTCGTTCATGTGTGGAGATGAACTTGAAACCTTTTGTCGTGGCTGCTCAGAGGAGGGCATGCCAATACAGATACTGGAAATGTCAGAGTGCCTCGCATCATTAATGTATTAACCGTTATCATCATGAACTGTCCTTCCTGCTGCAATACGATTACTTATCCAAATGACCAATAATGAACCTATTTAAGTGTGCTATATGTGACTATATCAATTAGAAACAAAACCATTTTAACCGCTGTCAGGAATTGTACACATTTTCCCCATTTACTGCATTTTCCCTTGTTTAGTTTGTTTATAATGTCCACATTCTAAATGTCAAGTACTGTAGTGTACTGCATCTGTTTCCTCCTTTGCCCACTAATGATGAGCTCACCTGGTGCAGCCATCCTGTTTGTTTCTAGCCATCAGTGCCCACTTCAGCATAATGCAGCTTTGTAAAATCAAGGTATGAAAAGCCACTCAGTGTATGATATGAAAAACAAAATGTCAAGTGCACTGAGCCACAATGTGTTTACTGTGTGTTTAAGTCAGTCAGATCTTGAAACAAACAACCCTTAGAATGAAACCAGGCAACCTGAGAGTGAATACTGAAAAGAATAACACACTAATTCCTTTAGGAAAAGGAAAAAGTACTCAATGAATTTTTTTCTCTCTATCTGGTAAAACTTGAAATTGAAACTTTTATTTGTGCCATCTTGTATCTCTTCTCCTTGGCCCTCGGCTCTTCCCATTTACATACAAAATAAAGATGCATCCAAGGATGGAAACAACACATTTCCCTAATGGGACATTATTTCCCAGTGTAGCATCACTTTGTTAGATTACTTGTTGATGACTTTGTTGGTCACTTGGTCCTGAATGCTAACTTGACATTTAAAGGCCAGAAAACCAATTTTCTGAATTAATGATTGCCTCCTACATGAATGCAAAATTTTTGTTAGAATAGTTGTGCACATGAGAGATTTCTGTGTTTTGGTCCTTGTTTATCTCAATGTTTTCAAGTGGGTAGGTAAAAAGATGATGTCACATATGTCGGCACACCAGTGAGAATTTACCAGCATTTTCGCTATTTCAGTTTGCACGAATGTGGCCACCTCTTCCAAGCTTGTGTTCTTTACTTCTGAACAGACACAGTTTTTGGCACAATCTCTTCAAAGTCCTAATGCTGACAGCTACACTGTGTTTATGAGCCATAAGAGAAATAATTTCTTTGTTGCTAAAGCCAATTCTGAAGTACAATTTCATCAGTTCATCTATACATGGCATTTTGTAGAGGCAGTCATACACGCTGTTTGATATCGTCTCAAAAGGTCGATTTTAATCTCTAAATGTCAAGTTTATTCTCGACATTCCGACTTAATTCTCAAAAGGCAAAATTTAAATTAAAATCTTCCTCTTCTGACTCAGTTTGACTTTATTCTCGACATTTCGACTTTATTCTCGACATTTCAGCTTTTTTTCCTCGAAGTGCCTGATGAAAAAACAATCTTCCTCCTCTCATTTTTTTTTCTCATCCATGGCCCTACTACTCCTTCCTATTTTTACCATTATTTTTCCACCTATTCTACTTCTTATTCTCCCTTGTCCACAAACGAACGAAAGAACAGACAATTCAGAGCTGCTCGTGAGTGAAAGAACAGAAGAGACGTGAGGGCTAAATGAAGTCAACCACTGGCTGAAAAGTTGTGCATCCTGTAAACCAAATCTAGATAGTGTGGGAGTAAAAGTCTAAAAAGTCCAAATAACACCTGATACCTCTGGAGGAGAGTTGACTCCATCATTCTTATGACCTCCATGACCCTCAAGATTTTCCCTGTCTGAGGAAAGAAGACATCATGAAAAAAAGATGAACTTTTTAAATACACACACTATCACGCAATAGATATTGCATACTCTGTGGTGTGTGTGGGTCTGTTATGTACGTTGTTATGTAGACAAGTTCACCCTGTTAGAGTCATACTGTTTCCATGGCAGCCAGATACTAATTAATTAAAGTTGCTGAGTTAATGTTTAAGTGACTGGTTTTTCTTGCACACACAGGATGTACTTGTCTCCCTCTCTACCTCCAAGCACTGCTTCACACTTTTAAAAGCAACAAACTATCAAACTATCAGTGAGCTAAATAAAGGAGATTATGACACAATATAATTGTTTGGGTTTATAACACAATTATTCCCCAAAAAATGTTAAAAGGTGTCGGTGGATACTTTACTAGAGGACTTAGAAGCTAAATCTATAATAAGCTTATGAAGTGTTATGCATTGCTTTAGGTTAAATTGCCAAACAGTATGTTAAGCAGTTACATTCACTTCTGCCTCAGCAAGCTATGACTTCAAAATGCTGCTTACACATTAATGCATGCATCAGGACTTCTCAGTTTGGGATGAAGTATTTATTTTTCTCTTCTTATCCCGGTCTTCTCTGTGTGTGTCTCACAGGCTCCACGAGTTCATCCATGTCAGACCACTGGCTGATCCGGCTGACAGGGGACAGTAAGAGAGGCAGTCTAGTGTCTCGATCCTCCACCACCTGCCCGTCTTCCATACCCGACTCTCCGGAGTCTCCGGTCTTCCTTGACAATGGTTCCAAAGAGGAGAGGGGTAAGCGGCCACACCCAAGATTTGCCCTAATCAGTTTAGTGGCATATTGATTGTTTATTTCAAGATTAAATCTATGTGAAGGTCTTGCATCTAAATGTGAAAACTAAAACTTTTTTTTTTTCTACAATGTAAGGGGGTTTTGAGAGCAGGCCATTTGTCAGGGGTCTTCAGGGGCGCAGTGTGAGCATGAGAGCCCCCAGCAAGACCAAAGACACTCTGAGCAAAGTGCTTCCCCTGCGCTGGTCCTTTGGTTCCAAGGATAGACGAAAAACAGAGCCAGTGCCTGCACCGGTCAGAGATCCTGCCCCTGTAGAGCTAGTGCAGTACTTGGAATCTGGTCGGCGGCCCCGGTGCACAAAGGACCCAATAATAACGTTGATGAGCGAACCGCGCAGCACAAAGGAATCTGCTGAGAGCCGCGCCGCCGCCAATGTCCGATCATCCAGCATTGGGAGTATAAGTTGTGTGGGTAAAGCAGGGGATGAGCCGCCTCCAGAATCTCCACGGGTCCCAGAGGGCCAGAGGAGAACATCAGATAAGACAGCCAGCTTGAGGCGCAGCAAGGGAGGCCAGACAAGAGATGAGAGTGCCTCGAATATCAGCAGTAGCTCTAGCAGTAACACCCTTACCAGGAGGAAGGATGCCAGGAAGCAGAGCTCCTCCAAAGCTTCCCAGGACGCTGAGACAAAAAGGAGTTTCACTGCTGGAGTTCAGCCCAGCTACAGTACACCCAGCCTTCATGATGAGACTCTGAGAAGGCAAAAGGTAGAAAGGGCTGATAGGGAGCATCATGGTACATATGAAGGAAACTCAAAAACCAAGAAGGGAGAAGTACCCAAGAACCACGAGGGACTGCTCTCCTTCTTCAAAGGTAACTTTCTAAAGAAGGATAAGGACCTGAGGAAGTCCAAGGAGGGTGAGTCAGGGAGAGGAGGAGGTGAGGAAGGAGGCAGAAGGACCTTGTCGAGGCTGTCACTGTCTAACGGAGCAGTCGGAGGCAGAACTGGGGTGGAAGGAGGCAAGTCTAACGGCTCAGGCCATCTGGGTGATGACGTGGCCAATGGAAATGTGGGGCGCACGGCGGCTGACATCAAGCGCTCGCAGAGTTCCTCCAACATCCCCACCAAGGCAGAGCAGAGCATGCGCAGAACATCGTCTTTGCATCGTAATGGCATGTCCACAGCCCCGGCACCGTCACGCAGCCTGACAACAGACAAACCATCTTACGGCACCCTGCAGAGGACTCGTTACAGCACAACCTCCCTGGGGCGCAAAAGGACAGTCCCAGAGTCGAGCTTCTGATGCACTGATATTTAACACATCCGCACACACAGAGCCTTTTACCTGTTATAAAGTGAATGACGTCCAGTCTCTGAGATCAAAGCAATAGAGCTCAACTCACAGTGATACGCCTTTTTGTTCGCCGAAAATGAGCTGGCTCGAGTGGTTTGCACCATGGAGAGATGGAGCTAATGAAGAGTCTTTCAATGCTGGGATATAAAGAGCAGAATGAAATGATGTGACCTGAGAAGGAGTTTGTTTTTTTATCACTTGAAACAAGTGCCTGAGAAACTAATATGCAGTTTAGACCAATGAGTTTGTCTTTTTAGCACTGGAAGCACAAAGTCCCACACAAGCACATACAAACGTAATATCTGCATTGTTACTGTAATGTGTTAGAATTCATAAATCCGTTTTGAATTCTTATAGTTTTCTGCTTACAATCAAGACACACTGATTGTGTTCATTTATAAGAATGTAATGTTTCCACTTGATTAACGGTGGAGCTTTGAGGCTGCACTTTCTGATCATCAATTAATGTTTATTTAAAGTATAGATGTCGCTTGAAAACACGAAACATGCCCAGAGCCCAAGTTTATTCCATTTTAAACCAGCAGTGGAAAGACTAAAACATCTGTAATACCTGGCTGGGTAGGAGTGGTATTCTGTAGAATCGCTGATCTGATCTCTACTAGGACCAGTAGTGCTTTATAGCTAACCTATGGCTAACCTGCCTGTAGCGGAAAGGAATTGAAAAAATACATTTGTCTACTCTAAAGTGTAATATTAATGCAATATCCACGCTTAGAGAATGTTTTATACTTTGATATAACATTAATGAACTATATTAAGTGCATTCCATATTTTTTTTTTTTTTTTCTTCCACTATTTTGGTGTTACCACCGTATTTTTCTTAGTTTACAATTTCCTGTGTTTTCCAGACTTGTCAGAAAACAGTTATAATTAGCTGTGGGTTATATGAAGGTGGTGACCGCAATTTGTAACAGATTGTTGAGCTTCCCCCCCCCAACTCAAAATGCAGAATGTGGCTGCATCACATGCTGTTCTATCAAATCTGTAGTTGGAGAAAGATTGTGCCTCTTCCATGATTTTTTGAGCCACATTTTGTTGAATTAGTGCTCAAAGTGGCAGCTTCATAAAACTAGCCCTGTTGAATGCTGATTGATTGTGAAGAATATTCTCCAGAACCTGACATTCACTGATTTTTGCAATCAAGGCTTACTGTGGAATTGCAGGAAAAACTGCAGCTTAATGAGTAAGAGAAATACTGCACGAAACACCAAAATGCATGCAAAAATGCAAGGTGTGTCAGTGTTTCAGGGAGTGGTCTTTCTTTTATTTGTCTCGGCTCTGAACGATGTAACTGTGGAAGATCCAAAATGCCTAAATGAAAATAGTCAAACAAAGAACTAAAGTAAAAAACAGATTGTAACATATATTCTGTTTTATGTGCATATTTACTGTAAACTTGCACAAGTTAACACTAATTAGCTCACTTACTGAGAATTGTGCCAAGAAGAGCCCTGTCGGTGTGTGTTTGTGCACTTCTTGCAGAGAGTCAATCACAAATAATTAAATGTTCAGTCAATATTACTGTCCCTGCAGCCTGCTGGGCCACGGGAAACTGTTTTAATGGCTGCCATCTGCACATATGGCAGCTGATAAGTGCCACCCAAGGTCCCGCCCCAAAGCTGTGATTGGATAGTTTGTTTGTTTTTTTTTCATCTTGGTTTGCATGATGCATCTCTGTTTTAAAAAAGGAAAACCTCTCTTGCACCTCCTCATGAGAGATAATGACAGTGCTTTGCGTTTGGTATTGGTGGGTCTGTCCCGCCCTCTGCTGGACAGCACTGAAATATAATAAACCACATATTTAATTAGTTGTTAGAGGGAAAAAAAAAGCTAAATACTTGTGTTGTTAACAAATGTTTTCATTAAATTGATATACAGTAAATCCATACATAAAAAGGAAAGTCAAATAACTGGGTATTTTATATGATTTTATTTCTTTGTTTGATTTCTTTTAATTTGGACACTTTAAATCTCCCATATGCATCAGACAAACCTGTGAATCCGGCATTATGAAGGTTCTGCTGTGCACTTTGTCTTTTCACAGTTTATGATCTGAAAGTATTATGGTAAACAACGATGGTGTTTCTGTGAGATTCATTTATATTCTGTTTATTAAGTTTTTCATTTTTACATGCAATCATTTTTTAAATTTACTTCCGTGTTATTATTTTTTGCTTAATTTTATCTCGCTACATTTTTTCCAACATCACCTTGCTTACATTACTTTTCCACAGAAGAGAGAGAAATGAAGAGTTGAATAATACTCTTTTACTTTGGGCCTTTTTGTAGCTTCAGCCGGGACCACTGGGAGTCAAGGTCACTTACATAACTGGTGGTGGAAAGCAAAGTGTTAATTTCATTTTCCTGGCCCAGATGTCCCCAGCCTCTCCATTAACTCAAATGGATGAATTGCTATTCGCAAGTCTGCTTCAAATCCTGATTGTATGATAGCAGAATAACAAGCCAGCTGGATCCCCTCATTTGCTGCTGCAGTGATGTTTTGATATTGTGTAAGTGTACAGAAATTTCCCTTAATGCCTGCTCAGACTCTACACATGTATGATTATATCTAGAGATTTAATTTGCACTCTACACATTAGGGAATGCTCTTAAGTAAACAATGCTACTAGCGTGTTGATAAGAGTCAGTCATCCTACAAACAGTTCACTTCCCACCAACAATAAACATATTAGAGTACTGACCCTGAACCATAGTAACCAATAACTGAAAACCAACAATATGATACGAGTTCATTAAATCATATAGTGAAAGCACTATATCAGCCTTAGAATTAGCTGTGTATAACAAAGCAGTTAACATGTTGATGTTAGTGGAGCATACACCCTGATAGTCCAGTTTATTATTGAACTTGAAGAATGTAGGAAACAAAGTTTTGCGCAGTCACAATGAATATACGCAGCTTCTGTTCATCTGCTGAATTTTGTTGCCTGCAGCTGCCTAAATAGAGAAAGACTTTCCAAGAACACAAACACAATGTCCATGGTCTTGTAGCACTTAGTCTGTGTTACTTTAATCTCTCTCAACATTGAAACCCGAAAACCAACACTGTTTGTCCAGTATCTGAAGAACTTGTAATGTATTTCCAAACAACCGACCGGCCATTTACACGGTAGAGCCACCTCATCAAATTGTTATTCTTCAGATTTCACTCGACTCGCTGGAGCTTCGGATCAACCTGTCAACCCATGTTAGAGAATGGAGTGAGCTCTTCTCCCTTGTTTGTGAATTTAAAGAGGGAGGCAGAGGTTTATTCACAGCAGCTGAATTCTGCCAAGTCATGCAGTAGCATATCTGAATGCTTTTAGTCAGTATTCACAATTGAGTATGGCATGCGTTTGTATTCCTTTACTTAGAGTAGTCCATTTCTAAGGCAAATCAAATATGAATTAACCCCATGAGGGGAAGCCTGTAAGGAATAAAATAAGGATTAAAATAAAAAAGCAAACTGTATTTTGAAAGCCAGTTTTATATGGAGATTATCAGTATGTTGCTCATTGTGTCACTGTTTTATTTAAACGTTGAATACTGGAATTAACATTTTCTCATGTTTATGCCAAGGATACAAGCTGCTGTTTGTTATAAACAATGACACTACAATTTGAAGTCTATTACACAGTTTTTAGTTTCAGAGGTGAGGGTTTGGTGTTTGCTGAGAGGCAAGTGATTTTTTATTTGTTTGTCTATGTAATATCCACGTCGGCCACAAGGGGGTGTGGAAAAATTAGTAAGTCTGAGGTGTACAACTACCACTTACAAAGTCTCCCAGTAAATTTTTGAATTCCCCTTGCCTCAGTTTTCCTTCTCAGCTTAATAGCTATCTATGGTTTCTACTCTCATCATATCCCAGAACCAAAAAGGTAATTTGTTGTGCTGCTGGCAGTAGTCACAGCTTTGATTAATGGTACACTGCTGCATTGTAAATCAGATTTGAAGGCTTCTGTTTTTCTAATATTCTCCTTTTTCAGAATCTTTTTATTTCTGTAACAGCTGAGTATAAATATTTGCAAGTGGCAATTCAACTACTGAAATAATGTATTGAACCTTGCAAGAACACACACCACATTTTAGCAACACTTTTATTTTTTTTATGTACTTTTTTTTTCTTTTTAGTTAGTTTCAAGTCCCTCAGCAATAATAGCTGAACGTCTTATTCATTAGTGTCTCCTTTGCACACGTTCTAACTCTGAAGTGCTGTTAATAAAACTAAATTAAAGACTTTTGTTCTCCACATTAAAACGTAACACTAAATATACCATTGAACCATAAGGTCACACACTTAGTTTTTCTCCTTGAAATGTCAAGAGAGATTGACAGTGTCTTTGTTTTGAGTGCAGCTGCTGTTTGGTTGTCCTCGACTATGAGTTTACCAAACCTAACAAATGGATGTAGTTTGGAAGTTTGCTGGAAAGTAGCAAACTTAAAGTAAATGTGAACATTTATATGGCTGCTCTGTAGTCCACAATGAAAATGTGTGGAAAAAGACATTAAAGCATGAAAAACCAATATTCTAGTGTCCTGTCGGGGTGACGGAAATTAGGAATCTCACCTTGAAACCTGTGGAGTGCTTTTTCTTCAACTTCTTCATCATTTATGTCTGAGTGACCTTCTTATAATAGTGCTGATACTTCTGAACAAGAACCCACGTGCTTACATACAAGCTGTAATTGATGCCAGTCAAAGCTGACATTTCCATCTTTTCAGTGAATTGTATAATCTAGTATATCAAACACCAGGTGTAAGTGCAGTCTGTTCACTGTTATTCAGAAGTAGCGGATAATCACTGACACAGAATTAAACTCACTTGTATCTTGTTTTTCTCTGAGGCCGGAGCAGTACATCAGCGGTGGGTTATAATAGGGCATAGAGTTTAAACAAGGACACAAAGTCTGTATTGCATTATAAATTTA